CACCACTACGAGTGGGGCAGTACCAACACCAATAGCAGGGGAGAATCTCTGCTAGGGTATTTGGCATCAATAGACTTAGAGGTAATAAACAGAGGCAAAGAACCAACGTTTGTTATTTGCAACCGGAAGGAAGTAATAGACATAACGTTGGCATCAAGGTCAGTATATGAAGATGTTTCTAACTGGAGAGTGACCAACGATATAACCATGTCTGATCACAGGATGATCAGATTTGAGTTAAATGTCGACAAGGTCACTCCTAACCCAAGGAGGAATCCAAGGGCTACAGATTGGGAGAAATATCTCACCAATCTAAAAAGTCAAACTTGGAAACCTCCTGTGGACATTACCACCAAAGAACAGTTAGAGAAGGAAGTTAACCACCTAAATAGTACGATTGCCACAGCCTACGAGATTGCTTGCCCGGCCAAGGTGGCTAAGGGCCGAAAGGTTCCGTGGTGGAGTGACGTGCTTGACGACCTTCGAAAGAAGGCAAGGCGCGCATTCAACCGGGCTATCAAAGATGGGCTGCAATCCACGTGGGACACGTACAGGGAGGCTAGAAAGTCTTACAAAAAAGAGTTAAGGCGCAGCAAGGATATCAGCTGGAAGACATACTGTGGAACTGTAGGGTCACTTCAGGAGTCAACCAGGCTGATGAAGATCCTTAGCTGTGACTCAAAAAGGAATGTAGGAATCCTAAGAAGGTTGGATGGATCGTGGACGAACACCAGTGAAGAGTCCCTAAGACATCTCCTGGAAACGCACTTCCCCGGCGAAACTCCTTCCCATACGTCAACAACGGAGGGGCCAGAGATCCTTACCTGGGACTTAGGCCTTGCCAAAGACGTTGTGAAGGAGGGATCGGTGGAATGGGCAGTAAATGCGTTCGATCCATACAAGGCAGCAGGACCGGATGGAATATTCCCAGCATTGCTACAGAGAGGCTTGGAGATTCTTCTCCCAGGAATAGAACGAATATTCCGAGCCAGTCTGGCACTGGGATATGTCCCAAGAGCCTGGAGAGCAGCTAAAGTGGTCTTTATACCCAAAGCAGGGAAAAAAGACTACTCGGCTGCAAAGTCCTTCAGGCCAATAAGCCTAACATCCTTTCTTTTTAAAACATTAGAAAGGATTGTGGACCGGTACCTGCAAGAAGGGGTGCTGAAAAGGTACCCATTCCATAAGAATCAACATGCCTATAGAAATGGAAGGTCGACCGAAACGGCTCTTCATTCTATAGTGCATAGAGTCGAAAAGGCACTGCACTACAAGGAAATGGCACTAGCTGTTTTCTTTGATGTAGAGGGGGCTTTTGATAAGGCGAGGACATCTACAATCTGTAAAGCGCTACAAGCCAGAGGCACTCCCCCAGTCCTGGTTAGTTGGGTTAAATCCTCACTGGAGGAGAGGCAGGTCAGTGCATCTCTGGGAGACTGCCATTTGGACATCGGTGTGAGGGGCGGCTGCCCACAAGGCGGCTGCCTATCACCCCACCTATGGTGTTTAATAATGGATGGACTTCTGGAGAGACTGACGGCCGAAGGGCTGTGTGCACAAGCATATGCAGATGATGGTACAGTCCTAATCAGAGGAGGCATTCTAGGTGTAGTCTGCGACAGAATGCAGACAGCATGCAGAATAATAGAAAATTGGTGCAAAGAAAACGGTCTGTCGGTTAACCCAACAAAAACTGACATGATTCTTTTTACCAAACGAAGGAAGATAGGAAGTTAAGTTGGAAATCACACGTCGACAGAGTTGTTGACAAATCGATTGCAACTTTCTGGCAGCTGCGCCGGGTGGTGGGAAAACGCTGGGGAGTAAATCCCAAAGTCCTTCACTGGATTTATACTGCTGTCATCAGACCGCGGATACATTATGGATCAGTGGTCTGGTGGCGCAGTGTGAGCAAAACCACCATCGCTCAAAAACTGAGCAAGATACAGAGACTGGCATGTCTCGGTATCACAGGCGCAATGAGGACTACTCCAACGACGGCATTAGAGGCCTTGCTGAGCTTGCCTAGTCTTTCCCTCTGGATAAAGAGAGAAGCAATGGCGAGCCATTTAAGGATGAGGGATGCCAACAATTGGTTAGGAAAAGGAATAACTTATGGTCATGAGGGCATCGCGGATATGGGTGAGAGGGAGGTCCCAATTAGCAGTATTAGAACGATGCCAGCAAAAGACCGCCTAAGTTTAAAAAAGAAGTTTTTCCTCACGATACCAACAAGAGAGCAGTGGGAGAAAAAGGATGTACACTTTGCACAAAATGCACTAGTGTGCTACACTGATGGCTCTCGTATGGCGAGTACACTGTCTTCAGGGGCAGGGTTCTGCGTGGAGGACAGGGATATCCAAAGGAGCTACCCGCTCGGAGGATATACCACTGTCTTTCAAGCGGAAGTGTTTGCCATACTTGAGGTTGCAAACTGTGAGGATATAAGAACAGGGAGCGAGACAGATATATACATCTGCTCAGATAGCCAAGCAGCTCTGAAAGCGCTTTGGGCAGCGAGAACCACATCGAAGTTGGTTCAAGAGTGTGAGGAAGCGCTGGAAAAGCTAGCAAGCACAAAAAGAGTGCATCTCGTATGGGTACCAGGTCATAGTGGGGTTGAAGGTAACGAACGGGCTGATGAGTTGGCCAGATTGGTATCTGAAACCCCCTGTGTAGGACCCGAACCAATTTTTGGAATTACGAGAAAGCAGGTCAAATCGGCCCTAAATAATTGGGCTGATAAAAGGGCGAACGAAAGCTGGAGAAGAAGCGGTGGCTGTAGGCAGACCAGGGATTTCCTGGTCACCCTAAGCAAACCCAAATCCATCTGGCTTCTAGGTAGGAGCCGAACCTCCTTGGGCCCACTTGTGAACATACTCACGGGTCATGGCCTAAGGAAACACCTCACGAGAATAGGGGCTGAAACCAGCTCCTCCTGTACCCAGTGCGGAAGGGAGGATGAAACCTCCTTTCACTTCCTGGGACAATGTAAGGCCCTCGGCAGACTAAGGTATAAAATCTTTGGAGTGATGACACTCCAAAGGGAAGAGTTGGCCTCTCTTGCCTGGCAGGATATCCTGACCTTTATAAGAAGGTCTGGAAGATTCGAAAGGGCTGGTATGGGCGAAGAGGAAGATGAGGAGTAGTTTGGTTGATTTAGGAGGGGCAGATAAAAAGGACCATGGAGTCTTATTGTCAGGCTTCGAGCCTACCCAACCGTACTACTACTAACCTCACTTATATATTTTGCATTTAATATTTCTTCTTTATAGCCCCAGTTGCAAGTGAACCTGCCTGTCTGTGGAGGAAAACGGAGCCTGTACCTGCCTGTTGCCTTTTGGGGTATCAAGAATGAAATATTGACCTGTTTGCACACATAACATTGTATAATACTTATCTACGATAGACCTTTATTTTATGTACAATGTACATATCTTTTACTTATGATTTTTTATATATTTATATGAACCAATAAACAAGTTTAAGTTATTTTTGGCATTTAAATTAAACCACAAAACCTGAACTGATTCTTAACCCTATTTCTCCACTGTAAAGTTACTCGAGGTAGGTATTCTCTCTGTCGAAGAACTAGAGAGACCCTATAGTGCGTACTTAAGGCCATTACCAGCCTAGGTACGACACAGGCTTTGTGAGGGAATTTTCGAATTGGAAAGTTTATTAGAGGTAAATGTAGGCCCATAAAATTTTATTAAACTCAGCTGAAGAAGTTTAAACAATTCTAAAAAGTAACAACGAATTTAAAAATACTATATATTTCAAAGCTGACTCAACACATATGTAAAGAACAAATCTGGTAAACCTTAAAAAACAATTGGAAGAGATGAAATCTAAGGGGGTCAGTAATAAAAATATTAAATACCTTAATGGGGTACCGTCAATAATTTTTTTGAGTAATAGCAGTTTCAATAAATCTAGTTTTTCTGTGTTTTATCAAAACTCTCTGAAAGGTTTTGTGATAGTTGGCTCCCACCGGGTTCACCTTTAAATGTTTATAAAAATCATGTAATGGATGTGAGGGGAATCTGCAGTGATTTTCCAAACTCAACAATTATGGTGTTAGATAAATATATCCTGCCTAGTATTAGTAAGTATAAGAATACTGTATTCTGAATACACTTAACAAAGACGCTGGGGGCCTTTCTTTGAAAAAGTTGTCTTAAGCAGAAAAATTTAATTGTTCATAAAACTTATTTTATTTCAGATCTTTGTTTTACAAATAATAAAATTGCTATTAATAGGGATGAAGGGTTTGTACCCTGTGATAATTATAATCCTAGGGCGCGTTCAAAAACTCGAAAGAGTGCACTCTGGAATCCCATATTATATAGTCAAAATTTCAAAACTAGTTTACATATCTGGGCACCTGCTAATCTTTTTATGTGTGGTAAAACAAGTATTTAGGCAAAATTTGAAGATATTATTTCAATTGGAAAACAGTGCTCAAAGTCATGTAATATTAAGAATAAATGCGAAAAAATCTGGAATTTCGAGGGTTGTTTTAAATTAAGTACAACTACCTGGAAAGTAGTAACTTAGTTAATTCATAGTATAATATTGAAGAATAATACAAAAATCTTAGAAAAGTAGTGATTAGGGTAAATAAACATGGTTTAATCCTTCGAAGTTGAGGGCTTTAAACTTTCAACAACTGCTTGTTTTGTCGTTTTGGTCGGAACCCACTTTCTGTTCGCTTCAACGACTTGTAGGAGCAGCTGTTTCTCTTCTTCATCATTTGTCAGAAGCTTATTGAACTCTTCAAACAGTTTGACACCGCGCTCAGCTATATCATTAACAACATTCAGGTTTCTTGTGATTTGTTTACCACTAATGTAATGTTCATTGCTGTTCCATTCATTTGGATGTGTGTTCAAAAAAACGGTATTAATGTTCAACTTGTCAAACAGCTGCAATGATCTTTTATTGGCAAAATCAGCCAAATCGGCTTGGTCAGTTAAAAGTGATGAATCTCCTCTTACCTTTCGGTCAGTAGGCTCACAACCCATCTTTTTAACAATTTTCACCTTTTCCTCATTTGATACTTTTTCTGAGAATAAACTTAAACCAACTAACTCATCCGAGAGGTACCAAAGATGAGGTTTTATGGCATTTTTAACCACTTCACTGATTTGAGGATCAATAACTTCATAATTGGTCATGTCTTTCCATAGAAAAAGATCTGCCCAAGCATTTGTAGCTATAGGGGCTTCAATCCAATATTTTACATATACAAGAGCTCCAAAGTTCACAAAGCGTTCTAACTGTGATTTTTTCCTTAGTGTGGTTTTGAAACCGTCTTCCTCACGAAACAAGTAGATTTTGATGGCGTATAACAGTTTCGCCATCCAACGAGCGTGGTGTACTGCACCTGGAGCTCTCCAATAAATTTTATCTGGCGTATGGCCCAGAGCTAGTAGAGACAGCTCTATTAACTCCATGTAATCGTCTCTGGGCTGATTTTTCCTTCCTAAGGCAACTAATAAAGCATTTACTGCAGAGAGCTTGAAATTTTCACTTCCAGGAGCTTCTTCCAATAGTTTGTAGTTTTCTTGGTGTATAGAGGGCCATGCTACCTTGAATCTTTTGAATAAAGAAATGTCAGGAGAACTGGATGGTCCGAAACATAGAGTAAATACCTTACTGAGAACAATCTCCAAAATGTGGTGCCTGCATGCTAGCCATAATAATTCTTTTCCAACTTTATGTTCCAGCATAACACAAGCTCCATTTCTCAAACCCTGTATTAACAGATGTGGTGTCAAAACACATGCCAACTATCTTGTTCTCCCAACCCCATTCAGTTAGAACATTATAAACTGCATTCACTGTATTTGCACGAGTACCACTTACAAGTTTTGACACACCAAGCAGTTTTACCTTACCATCTGCAGATACTAACACGGGCAAACGATCTACTTTTTCATTGCCCAAAATATCAGGAAGAATCTTCCCGTCCCAATGAACTATAACTGGAACGTCGAAAGTAACAGATTGCTTTATTTCCTTAAACACAGCCTTTCTGCCTTCTTTTCTTTTGCGTTGAATAGTGCTTCGAGATAATGGCAATGAACTAGGGTCATGTCCCAATGCTGCTGCAATAGGGACCATTAATCTTAAGGCTTCCCTATCAGAAACCTTATTTCGATCTAAAGCGCTAGTGACATGTGTAGAAAATAAAGATTTCTTTGCAATTGGTTCAGTCTGCGAGTCTGTTTGGGATTTCCTTCTTTTTAGAGATGATAATGATGATGGCTTATACATCTCTTCTGATTTAAAACTGGCTGAATCAGAATGTTCTGGTGATTCATCTTCTGATTCTGAAATAGTCACGGTTAGTCATGGAATACGAACCTGGCTCTATACCTTTTTCAAGCCTCTTTTGTTCTTTCATTTTTCTTTGAAGAATTCTTTCTTGTTTCTCGTTGTACTTTTTGTCTTCTGATGAAATAATTTTTCTTTCCTTCCTCTGATCAATTAAAAATTCTCTGTCTTCGTATACTTTGCACATAGTAAGTGCATCATTGTGAGCAATATCAAATACCATATCTAGCTGTTCTTGAAATAGTGTTTCACGTTTCTTTTGGGTATCAGAGATTCTTCCTTTATTTTTTTTCAACAGAAGCCATTCAGAGTGGAATTTTTCAAGCTTCTCAATACAATGTTTGAAAAGTCTAATCGGAATAGCAGTCTTTTGCCACACTAAAATTAGTTCTTCTACAGTGCTATGACTTGCATTTCGAACAGATTTTTTTTATTGTAGGAAAAAATGGAATCTAAGAAGAACTTGCCTTACAGTTTGTAACTGATTAAATCTAGATATTGGTTCTAAATCTTTGACACCTATCAAGAATATAGTGTTCGCTTGAAGTGTTGCAGGTGATGACAAAACCATATTCAAAATTCAAAATAATCACTTGAATAAAGCAGTCCTCACAAACAGGGATGCCAGAAACTTAATTACAAAAATGACATAATTAACAATAATGAATAACGTCAAATTGACAATTTGCATTGTATCAATGTGTCATATTCGTAATTAAGGTGCATTCAAACAAAATTTAGGGGATTTTTTTGACAGATTCTGGCATCCCTGCTCTCAAACAACTATTGACAGTTCTAATTTTTTAAACTTTTTTATACAACTTTCTTGACATTTCTTTCACAAAAACAGCACCTGGAAATAAATAAATAAATATTTATAAAATAAGAAATAACAAAAAATTTAAAACTTTGGAGACGTTGAGCATGGCCTTCTACTCCACCTAGGACATTAAAATTTTGGCACTTTACTACTATCAACTAAAGTAAAAAACTTAGCGGGTGCCCTGAGGTGTAGGGTAAATTAAAAATTTTTGGGCCACCCTACTCTGGATACATCCAAAGTTTACCTTGCGCGTTCGATTTCTCTGGTATATACCTAGATATATACAACTGTCAACTGTTCGAAAACCGCAAGTATATGCCCAGAGTGCACTCTCATCAAACATTTATTTAACCTATTTACCTACATATAGGTTATGTATTTTGTTTGGTTGATGTTTATGTAGTTTTAATATGAGTGAATTTATTAGCATCTGTAACTATTCTCTAGTTACAGATAATAGGGGCAATGTGGTTGAATCATGATATGTCATAACCAAAGTAAGTTTTATCCTATGTAGATGTATGTATATAATAATATTATTACCATGTATTAATCTAGCTTTAGCCTATCATAAGTTTTGTTATTAATATTTGTTCGCTTTTAGTAATTTTTTTTATTGTAGCCAAAGAAATAAGGCAAATTACTACAGAGATAGCCGGGAAATTTTTAAAATAAATTTTGTGGACCAAAACCAAAATTATGAGATTGACGCTTGTTCCATTGAGACTGCAGGGCCATCGGGATCTGTATAAAAAAATACAATTTGGACAAGGGAGGCAATTATTTGTCTTCTTGAAGTTTATAAAGAACGGCTGTCAGAGATAATGTCAACAACAATACGGAACGAGGCTGCCTTCAAACATATCTCAGAAGACATGGGGAAATTTGGATTTGAATTTACTGGTAAGATTTAATTTTTTTTACAGTTATTTTCATAATAATTTTTTTGGGGAACTCAATGTAGAGATAAATTTAAATACTTAAAAATAAAGTATTTGAAAAAAAAGACAATATAATAATAATAATAATAAGCTTTATTTAAGTTATATACAAAGTAGTATTTACACATATATATGAAGCAAACGGGCGCAGCAACAATTAAATTTGAATATTTTGTTGAGATGGATGGCATTTTTGGTGATAAACCGAATGTCCAACCAGTGGCCCTGGCTTGTAATATGACGCCGATTGTGGAAAATGGTAGATAAAATTAATTACAAGTTTTAAAATTATATCAGTAAATTAGTTGATATTTATCATTACCTAATCTATAAAAAAAAATTATATTATTAAATTTTAAGATGATGATGGATCTCAACATAACATGTTGGAAAATAATAAAGAAAATACACCTTTAATCAATAAAAAAAGAAAAAGAAAGGAAACAAATAGGGAAGCCCAGGAAAGAAGGCACAAGGAAAAAATGGCACGGCAAGACAGAATGTTGGACTTGTTTGAAACATAAATTGAAAAAATTAACCAAACCAATATGTAGTTTTTTAGGATTTATTTTTTAAGTTTTTTTATTAATATTTAGTTCGTTTTTTTAATTCTTTAATGCCATTCCAAAGTGACAGAGAAGATAAGTGTACACTTTTAGTTTTATATAAAGTATTTTTCATAAAAATTAATAACATTAAAACATTGGTAACGAAAAGGATTTGTTCAGTCCTCTCTGTGGCCATTGTTTTTATGTTATAATGTTGCAAAATTAATGTTTTTAAATTTGTTTTGAATAAAAATACTTTATACTTTACTATACTTTATATAAGTTTTATCGAAAAGGAACCAGGCTCCAAAAACTTTTTCTGGGTTTAGAAAAATATTTGTAAAATTACTCATTTTAAATAATGCTTAAAAGGTTGTTCATCATTTGGAGCTTTTCTCAAAAGGATTGAGAGGGTTTCCAAATCATTATTAATTTTTTGAGCAGCATTAAAAATAAGTTATTTTGCAAATAATTTTGTTTACACCAGAAAAAGTTTTTGGCGCTTGCTTCCTTTTTGATAAACGTTATCCATATGAAAGTATAAAGTCACAAGTGCCGACTTGTCCTCTCCATTACTTAGGATAGTTTTTGACAAATAAATAATAAATTCGTTTATGTTAATCTTTTTGTGATACATTTTATTGTTTGTTTTTAAAACTTTTAAGTATTATATTTACAATAGGTAAATTATTTTATGTTAATATGTTTGTTTTGAAGTTTATTTCTCTTTTATGATACATTATTTTGTTTGTTTTTTTAGAGAAATGTTTTATTGTATTTAAAATAAATTATTTTATTATAATATTTTGTTTTTTATCGCATTTTAAACAAATAGTTTCTCATTAATAAATTATTTAGTTTTAATAAAGCTAACTTACCGTTTTTTAACAAATTTACTAAATAGTAATATAATTGGATAAAAAAAGGTTTAATGAAATGAAAATTAAAAATAATATAAAACAAATTATTAATATATATTTTAAACAAATCCATTAATAAATATAAGTAATGTTCATCCAATAAATTTTCTGGATTTATATTTTCCTAATTTTTTTCTTCTACAGTGGCTTCTGCCATCATTTGATAATTAATTCCTTCAAATTTTAGGCAAATGTTATGAAGTACACAACATGCCTGTACTGTAGCAGGAATATAATCAAGCTTATTCATGTCCAGGAATTTTAATCTTCTAAACCTTCCAAACAAGTAATAAATCTAGTTTCTTCTTCACTTAAATTCCTATTTTGTATATAGGGTGGAATAAGGAAAGATAAAATCGGATATGCTTTATCATCTATTAAAAATTCCTCATTGAGGAAAAATCTTATTTCATCTTTTCGTATCTTTTTATAAATTGTCGAATTTCTATAAATTCGGCAATCACTGACAGATCCAGGATATCCAACAAAACAATTTGTGAAATGCAATTTGCTATCAGAAATAGCTGGGAGTGTAACAGCATAACAACATTTTCTTGTTATGTAAACCTCTGGATCCTGTTTAGGAGCTTTAATGGATACAAAAGTTCCATCTATTGTTCCAATTATTCCATTAATATGAGCAATTTCATTAAAATTTTGCTTGGTATTATTTATATCTTCAGGCCACTTTATTATTTGTGAGGCCATTATATTTAAAGCTTTTATTATTCTAAAAAATGAATTGCTCAGAGAGGATTTGCCCATGTCGAATCTCTCGCCAATTGATCTATAGGAATCAGGAGTTGCCAAAATCCACAAAGTTGAAAGAAGTTGTTTTTCAGTCGGTATCCTTTTTCTTCCATTTAAATGGGGTTTTTGATACTTTGGTGAATTAAACCAAATAACCCTTCAAGAGTTGTTCTGGTTATTCTAAAATGCATTTGGAACTGCTTATCAGTTAAGTTTGGAATTACTAAATTAACGTAGTCTTTAATTCGCATCGGAGTTTTTCTTTCCTCAATGCTTTCTTCATCATCGGATTCGGAATCTTGGAAAATTAAATTCCAGAAATTAAGCAAAATCTGTTCCACATTCATTTTAACAGCCCAGTTCGATTATTATTCTTCACTTAACGGTTCTATACTTATAGTTTATAGGTTATATTTGTTATATGTAGGTTATAAAAAACAAACGCACAAAACGGATAGAAGTATATGCTGTGCTGCGTTCGAAAATAACAAGTTAGTCAGGTATACTGTAAAGTCACGTGACTATATACCTACCCTTATACCATATCCAAAGGCGCTCCTGCTTTATTTTTTTCTTTAAATATTGCTTGTAATATGTTTGATTTCAATATACACAATATTGTTTTAATAAGGCAGATTACATATCAATAAACAATTATTTTTTAATGTTAATTGGTGTGTATTGTATTCTTTGTATAATGTAAATAATATGGTGAATTAACATTGTTTTTAAAGCTAGATTTATTTGTACCATCTGTTTATACCTACCAATCAAAATAAAGCTGATTTTGCTTTAGATTAGTCAATCGCAAATAAAGATTTGGTAGATTTGGCCGTTATGAATATCACTTTTGAAAATCTATATAATACTTTCCATAAATTGGATTGCCTTAAAGGCGCCTGATGGTATCTTCAATTTATTTTTAAACAAAACAGACTTTTATTTATCTTTAAGAAATCGTTAAGCACCGGTGTCTTTCCTAAAGCATAGAAGAGTTCTTATGTTTTGCCAATATAATAATATCACACAAAAGAAACGTAGTGTTTGCTGTGAATATATGTTATTTATTTTGAATATGCCGTTAGTTCATAAAAGCGCGATTAAATGAATTATTTTTTATAAATATTTCGTATATTCCCCATTCAAAAAAATGATCGTCTTAAAACAAGACTTTGAAATAATAATTATTTTGTTGAGGAAATTCATATATTTGATGTAAATAATTCTAATTTAATATATCA